TATATATGAGTCAAGATCTATTGATATCAAGTATAAGTCTAAACACTTATACCAAATATTATACATTTAATAACCTTTTTTTTATATTGTAAATTTAATTGATTGAACCATTGAATCATATTATATTATACTCAAGGTTATATATATCAAATTTCACAAGATTTAAACTTTTCTAAATATATTTATTAAAAAATGAATATTTACTCATATTTTAAATATGATATTATATGTTTAAATAAAATAATGTGATGACTTATTAAATAATTTTGGAATCATGTAAAATTTGATATAAGTAACCTTGAATATATCACATAATTTGTGACACCCTTACTACCCTAACACATGTATAAATAAATCTTGTAAATAAACTAAAGAATAAAATATTCAACATTGATAAAAGGGTTCACATAAAATCTTCATAAATAATCAAAATAATTAAAAGTGAAATTTAGAAAGTAAAACTTGAGAGTTTACAAATTGCTTTCAAAAGAGAAGGTATAACTCTAAATACATATAAAAATTTATCCTAGAATTCTCTGCCCCGATGTCACAATATCATCGCACACCCACAACTCAACGGTTGACATTCTAGATGCCACTCAAAGCCGAATCTTCCTCACCTAAAACATCCACAAATTGTACGGCGAGAAAAGAAAACATTTATATATAAAGCACAAAAGGAAATCCACAACATCATCTCATCATGACATGAAATGTTATTTACAAGCATTTCTATAGATATATCATCATTCTATCAATCATTCATCATCTTCACATCACAATTCATAATCAAACAAATCCATTACAATCCACACAAATTTTACAATTAACACTATGTCAAGGCCATGCAACATCTGACACAAGTGATACGGGTTAATTGCCTCACTCATCCCACACCATGCCAGGGGCACGCTCGTCCTTGTAGCATCACTTACTCAAGGTTCGTCTCATCCCTGGTCATTAGTGTGAGGAACCACAATCACATTACAATCCACACAAGTCTTGCAATTAACCCTATGCTAGGGTTGCACATAAGTGATGCGTGTTAATTGCCTCAC